ATCAAAAGAATATTCAGAATAAAGAAAAGATATACTACCTTCGTAAATATGTTGGTGGACAAGTTAAAAATGCACTAGATGGTTATTTCCTGCTTGGAACCGAGTCTGCCTATGTTTCAGCGTGGGAGATCCTGGAGGAGAGATATGGAAACCCATTTACAGTTGCAACAGCATATAGGGATAAACTTCAAGCATGGGCCAAGATTGGACCTAAAGACAGCACCGATCTAAGAGAGTTAGCTGATTTTCTACGGAGCTGCGAAGCCGCCATGGCTCATATCAAGGCACTGGAGATCCTAAATGACTGCAGTGAAAACAGAAAGATTCTGGCAAAGTTACCTGATTGGTTAACTGCAAGATGGAACCGAAAAGTGATGGAAATGGAAGAGGAGAATGGCCAATTCCCTTCTTTCAGTCAGTTTGTAAGATTTCTGACCAGAGAATCAAAAATTGCCTGTAATCCAATAACATCATTGCAATCATTAAAGCTAAGTGATAAATCCAAACAACAAAATGTCAAAGTCAAAACATTAGTCACACGTTCTAATGAAGAAACTATCAACATATGTGTTTTTTGTAAGAAGCATGGACATACTTTGCACACATGCAGAAAGTTTATGCAAGATGAAGTCTCAGACAGAGTTAAATTTGTCAAGGCTGAAAAGTTGTGTTTTGGATGCCTCAACTCAGGTCATTTCTCAAAGAGCTGCAACTGTAGGAGTGTTTGTAATATATGCAATAAGCAACATCCTACTTGTCTGCATGAAGAGCGAGACAAAAGAGAACAAAGGGCAGCACAAGTTAAGCAAAGTCAAGTTCATGAAACTTTTACTCAAGGAAATAATAAAGTCAACCCACAAACAAGGCTAGCAAGAGACATTGTCACAGCTTCTACCTTCAAGGTCAATCAAATTGAAGCTACTTTCCAAACAGCTGCAATAATTCCAGTTTGGCTTTCCTATGCTTCACAGCCAGTTCCGGAAGTGCTTGTTTATGCACTACTAGATTCTCAAAGTGACACAACATTTGTGCTAAGCGATGCAGCTGACTCTTTGGAGGCACCCAAGGAACAAGTGAAGTTGAAGCTTTCTACAATGACATCACAAACTACTACAGTAAGGTCTCAACGAGTAAATAATTTACGAGTTCGGGGTTTCTACTCAAATAAAAGAATCAATTTACCACCAGCCTACACACGCGATTTTATTCCTGCCAACAGAGCTCACATACCAACTGACAAAACTGCAGAGGCTTGGTCCCACCTAGAGCACCTGAAATATGACATAGCACCCCTACAGGACTGTGAGGTAGGCCTGCTTATTGGCTACAACTGCTCACAAGCCTTTCTACCAAGGGAAGTTGTGTCTGGTCAAGACAATGAGCCCTTTGCTCAACGCACAGATCTTGGATGGAGCATTGTTGGTCATAGCAATCCCTGTGTCAAGTATGGAGATGCAATAGGAGTTAGTCATCGTATAGTTGTCCGTCAAGTGAAACCAAAGGTTGACTCTGCTCTCAATCTAAAGGGTGAAGTTCACTATGTGAACAGATCAAAGGTTAAAGAAAGGAAATCCAACTTGTTCTCAGGACCAACATTTCTCTGGCAAAATGAACTACCTGCTTCTAAATACAAGATAGAAGAAGTACAAGATGATGATCCTGAACTCTGCAGGGCTTCAGTGTTTAACACAAAGGCAAAGGAGAGCAGATCACGTTTAGAGCGCTTTGAGAAGTTCTCTGACTGGTCAAGATTAGTGAAAGCTGTTGCCAGATTGAAGAGACGAGTCGCGGAACACAAAAGGTTGAAACAAAGAACCAATGAGGGAACAAGCTTGGAGGAAAGAAAAGACGCAGAAATTGCTATTGTCAAGCAGGTTCAAAGGGAAGCATTTCCAGATGAGATACAAAGCTTAAAGGCAAAGGAAGGTGTGGTTAAAACCAAGTACAGCAAGCTGAAAGGGTTAAATCCCACCTTGGATGAAGATGGAGTTTTGAGAGTAGGAGGACGTTTAAATCAATCAGCGTTACATCCTCACATAAAACATCCAGTAATACTACCAAAGAACAGCCATATATCCTCTCTGCTTGTCAAGCATTTTCATGAAAGGATTCATCATCAGGGACGTGGAATGACCGTAAATGAACTCAGAGCAAATGGATGGTGGATCCTAGGAAGCAGTGGCATTGTATCATCACACATCTTTAAATGTGTTAAGTGTCGAAAGTACCGAAGATGTACTGAAACCCAAAAGATGGGTGACTTACCTCAAGACAGAATGGAAACAATGCCTCCATTCACCTACACTGGCATGGATTGCTTTGGACCAATCTATGTAAAAGAGGGAAGAAAAGAGGTTAAAAGGTATGGACTTCTACTCACCTGTTTATGTTCAAGAGCCATACACATCGAAATGCTTGACGATATGACCACTGACGCATTCATCAATGCATTAAGAGCCTTTATTGCCATAAGAGGAAATGTCCGTCTACTTCGATGTGACCAAGGAACCAATTTCATTGGTGCAAAAAGGGAGCTTGCAGAACTCATAAAAGGAATGGAAGAAGAAAGGGTCAAAACTCTAAAATGTGAATTCCTAATGAATCCCCCAGCAGCAAGCCACATGGGTGGGATCTGGGAATGACAGATTAGGACTATTCGAAGTGTTCTCACAAGCATTCTTGACAATTCAGCTCAAAGACTGGACAGTTCATCTCTAAGAACTTTGTTTTATGAAATAATGGCGATTGTCAATAGCCGACCACTTACAGTTGAGAATTTGAATGATCCATCTGCACCTGAACCTTTAACTCCAAATCACATTCTTACAATGAAGTCAACAATTATTCTTCCTCCACCTGGGCAGTTTGTCAAAGAAGACCTGTATCTGAAAAAAAGGTGGCGCAGAGTCCAGTATTTGGCTAATGAATTTTGGATTCGTTGGAAAAAGGAATATCTGCTGAGTTTACAACAAAGACAAAAATGGCAGAACACCAGAAGAAACATGAAGGTGAATGACATTGTACTCTTACAGAACGAGCAGGCACCACGAAATGAATGGAAACTAGCCAGAATAGCCGAGGTCTATCCAGGGTTAGATGATAAAGTTCGAAAAGTAAGATTGTTGGTTGGTGATACCACATTTGATGGAAAGGGTAAACCCATGACTAAAACAATGTTCCTTGACAGACCTGTACATAAACTTGTTACATTGATTGAAGCAAATGAAAGTACTTGTCTGACCAGCCGCTAAGTTTCCTTAGAAATCCCACACTGGGTTTTGTGTGATTTGGTGGGAGTGTAACTGCAGTTGCTGTTTATTTCTTCATTTATTTATTTTCCCATTTGTAAGACACTGGGTTAGTTGTGTTTCCTGTAATTTTATTTTGAAAAGCGACATGAGCTGCTCTGCCAGCCACACCCTTGATTTGATGGATACAAGCCAGGTGTGAGGAACACAGAACCTGGATGAAGTGCTAACAAGCAGACAGCTAATGGACTGCTAAAGAACTAACTAGTAAAAGGACTTAAAGGAAACTAGTAAAAGGACTTAAAGGAAGATGGATTCCCTTTGTGTTTTAAGCAAACAGCCAACGAGGTATTTATTTGTCTTTATTTTATTGCACATTATTGTATATGTTTTAATTGTACTATCCTGTATTTAGTTTCACGGTTTAAGAGAGGTCTAAAGAAAGGAGGACAGAAGAGGTCCACAATGAAAAGACGTCCAATAAACCCGTAAAAGAAATCACTTGCGTCTGTGTTGCTTGGAGGGAATCACAGACATCATACCAAATTAAACAAGAGGTATTGATTGAATAATGCAAGGGTGAAAACTGAAGGTCAGAACTGTATTTAGTAACAACAACCATGCAGAGTTTCGCAAGTTTTCCAAGATGGGCCACCTGGAGGATTTTCTTCCCAAAACACCGACACCTTTCCCATGCTGGCGCTGCGTTACTCTGATACGGGCTGTTAGGCTTGGTCTGCATAGCTGGCAGCAAGTCGGGCTCGTTCCCGGTGACCGCTGAACTCCGCTAACGCTGCTCTGTCACAGTCTGTTCATAAACTTTTTATCCGTCCATCCATCTATTTTCCTCCGCTTATCGGGAGTCGGGTCGCGGGGGCAGCAGCCTAAGCAGAGACGCCCACACTTCCCTCTCCCCAGCCACTTGGGCCAGCCGAGAGACGTGGTCCCTCCAGCGTGTCCTGGGTCTTCTTTTAGGTCTCCTCCCAGTTGGACGTGCCAGGAAAACCTCACCAGGGAGGCGTCCTAATCAGATGCCCGAGCCGCCTCAACTGGCTCCTCTTGATGTGTGAGAGTCCAACCCAAGGTCCTGGGCTCCGCCTTCTCACTGGAAGATGTGCCCGTGAGATTGAGGAGGTCTGAGTACAAGTCAGCAGCACACCACCCTCACTTTACACAGTGTTGGTAGCGTTCTGTTGACGAATGTAAAGGAAGTGGTGTCCTGAACAGTCCAACCTGCGGTCTCTCTCTCTTTTGACAGTTAGTTAAAAATTTGGGCATGTCTTTGTCTTCCTCTGTGTGCCCGCCGCAGAGGTCTTACATGGATCCAAAATGGCATCGCGTGACTCCGTAGCAGCGCCACACAGAAAACAAACCAGAACAATGACCAAATGCACCTCTGCTGCACCCCCGCTTGCTACCACCGCCATGAGATAGTTAAAACCCAGGAGAGGCCTGGAAGTGTTAAACTGAGGACAACATATTCTGGGTCGGTCAGGAGCGCGGTACAAGCCGCTCGGGGCTGGCGTTCCCTTTCAGGAGCTGCTCTGTCCAGGAAGGAGACACCATGCAACAATAACCCAGATGTCGGTATGGACCCGATCAGGACGCAGGTTCTGTTGGTAAATAGGCTCAAAAGCAAGAACACGCTGTGGATCAGACCTGTCTGATAAGTGACACTGGTTCCTCTTCTGACCCAAAACACAAACCATGAAACCAGCAGTAGCAGACCGACCAGAACAGAACCAGCCTGACCTCGATCCGATCCATCTTGGCATCTCCCCAGTAGATCTTTAGCTCGCTGTAGTCGAGCGCGAGGCCGTTGGGCCAGCCCAGAGTCGTGTTCACCATCACCACGCGCTCCGTCCCATCCAGATTGGCCCGCTCAATCTTCGGTACCTCACCCCAGTCCGTCCAGTACAAGTATCTGTGAACAACAACAGAACCCTCCTGTAACATCATCCAGACTCAGCTGGTCTCTGCGCCAGGAAATAGACCTACCCGGCCACAGGGTCCAGAACAATGGCTCTGGGCTCGTCCAGGTCCTCAGAGATCAGGATCTTCCTCATGGTTCCGTTGAGTCGGGTCACCTCGATGCGGTCTGTGCCAGTATCTGTCCAGTAGAGGTTCCGGGCTATCCAGTCCACAGCGATGCCATCGGGGTGGCTCACCTGAGCCACAACCACGAACTGAGCATCGCTGCCGTCCAGCTGAGAGCGACGGATGGCTTTCACGTCATCATCAGTCCAGTAGATGTAACCCTCCACCGGGTCGTAGTCCACAGCGATGGCATGCCGGATGTCGTCCACCTGCAGGATGACGTCAGTGAAGTCAGGAGTGTCCAGAGAGATCCGCCGCAGGTCTGTCCGCCGTGCCAGCAGCAGCATCTGAGTCGCACCTGAGGAGGCAGAGGAGGAAGGTCAGAACCAGAACCAGCTTGATGAAAACCCCAGCAGCAGCTCCACCAGGGTAACAGACCCCCGGGTGCTGAAGTTACATGTAGAAATACTTCATTTATAAGCTCACTAGCAGCAGAATGGCCAAATATTCAGTTTTTCCCAAACTATTTTGTCTGAAATGTCAGAAAAACTGAAGCATTTCTAATGATAAAAAAAATGAACTAAATAGCGATGAAAGCTAAATAGTTGGCGTAGGTTTGTTTGGACATAATCTGCTCCGGATATTTCTGAGAGGTTTTACTTTGGTAAATGTTGTGAGACTTCCCCACCACCACCAAAATAAGAGCATCAGAGTCACTCAACTACAGCCTTCATCTCAGCCTGAGGCCCGGATCCTGGGCCGCGGCGCTTAAACGCCGGCTGTGAAAGGGGGCTTTGTCTGCGGGGGAGCATGTGATCCTACCCCTTACAAAAGCACCCCCCACAGCCGTCAGACCTCCAATGGGCCGGCCCGACACAAAATGTAAATGTGTGTGTGTGTAGAGGTGAGGGTGCAGTTAGTGCTTCAAGCAGATTGACCCCAGTGATGGACGGGTAGGTGGCCATGGCAACAGCAGGCCAGCCCAACGCTACCGTCAGCTGCTCTGAAACAAGCAGGGTGCTGTTTGGGCTTCAGCCAGAGCATCGTTCTAATGCCGTTTTTATGAAACAACGTTGCAGCGCTGTAGCGCCATCAAAGACCCTTAGGTCATTTAGAAGTTGTCAGACCGTGGCGGTGATGTGGCGCAAAAGAGTTACTTTTATAAAGAACTAGGCGATGGCGGCATAAAGGGGATATGGGGCGGTCCCTGCGCTGCCACGGACCTCCATCATCCACAGTCCCTGTACCGTCTCTGGTGATCTGACCCTCCAGCTCTAACAGAGAAGCTCACGGAGCCTTGAGGAGCACCAATTTGCCGCCTCAGCTGATTTTGTTCAAAAAGCAAAACTTACAGGTCGCGTTTACTTTATTTTTCAATAGAGTTGCCAGCCGGAGCTCAGCATTAGTTCTCTACGTCACGGGGAGAACACGCCAATGCCACACATGCATGGGGAGAACACGCCAACTCCACACATGCATGGGGAGAACACGCCAACTCCACACATACTAGAGAACACGCCAACTCCACACATGCATGAGAACACGCCAACTCCACACATGCATGGGGAGAACACGCCAAATGCACACATGCATGGGGAGAACACGCCAAATGCACACATACTAGAGAACACGCCAACTCCACACATGCACGAGGAGAACACGCCAACTCCACACATGCATGTGGAGAACACGCCACCTCCACACAAGCATGAGGAGAACATGCCAACTTTACACATGCAAGAGGAGAACATGCTAACTCCACACATACATGAGAACACGCTAACTCCACACATACATGAGAACATGCTAACTCCACACATGCACGAGGAGAACATGCTAACTCCAAACATACATGAGAACACACTAACCCCACATACATGAGAACACGCCAACTCCACACATGCACGAGGAGAACACGCCAACTCCACACATGCACGAGGAGAACACACCAACTCCACACATGCATGTGGAGAACACGCCACCTCCACACAAGCATGAGGAGAACATGCCAACTTTACACATGCAAGAGGAGAACATGCTAACTCCAAACATACATGAGAACACACTAACCCCACATACATGAGAACATGCTAACTCCACACATGCACGAGGAGAACACGCCAACTCCACACATGCACGAGGAGAACACGCTCCATCGTCCAGAAAGCCTGAGATTTTAATCCTGTAACCCTGTCTGTGAGGCATCAGTGCTCCCTGCAGCACCCTTTAAACATTCTACAAGCAGGCTGAAATGAGCATCAGTGAGCCCAGCTCCAGCAGCACCAACGATGATGATGATGATGGTAATTAGTATCCTCACCGTCTCTGCAGGTCTTTCCATCCTCCCGCATCTGGACTCCAGTGGGACAGGCACATCGAAAGAAGGGCCTGGTTGGAGACAGGAGGCAGAGGTGGGAGCATCCTCCGTTGTTCAGGGAGCAGGAGCTGCTCAGAGCTGCCAACAAAAAGTCTGTTAGTCCGAGATTAAAAACCCTGCAGATCCGCTGATCACGCTTAATAATTCTATGTATTCAATCTAATTTTCTTTTTCAACACAAACCCGTTCAGGTCTCCAGAACCCATACAAATAGGGCTCTGCTCTGAACTTACAGACAGGCTGCCTCTTAGGGCTGAAGACATGGATGTCCATGGGTGAGAAGATGTTGGAGTGGACAATGCGTTGCTCATTTCCTGTCTGCTTCTGACACGAATGGATGGAATGGGTTGTCCAGTCAGTCCAAAACAACGTGTCCTCAAACAGGGTGAGGGCAAACGGGTGAGGAAGCTCCCCTTTGACCACCACCTCCCTGAAAACACGACAGATGTCACAGTCCAGACTGAGGTTAAGACCCCACACCCCGCCCCAACAGAACACCAGGCGGTACCTGGAGGAGCCATCCAGGTTGCAGCGGTGGATAAAGTTGTGTTTGGCGTCGGCCCAGTACAGTTTCTGCTGAGCGTAGTCCAGGGTCAGCCCATTGGGCCAGTTGATCTCCTTATCGATGATGATGGAGCGATTGGTTCCATCCATGCCGGCACGCTCGATCTTTGGAACCTCCCCCCAGTCGGTCCAGTACATGAACCTGAGTATGGCCAAGGGGAAGGAATTGGGTGACAAAAGTGAAGCCAACACAGAAGAGACAAAACTGCACCTCCCCTCCTCATCCACTAGGTGCTGGCACCAAAACAGAAAGCCCTCATCGACTCTCTCGTTAAAAAAGACTCACAGTGGAACAAACACGTTCTACGTTTACTAGATCGAGTTTACAGTCATGACAACTCCGAGGGGGTGAATTTTTTCTTAACTCACCCACTTAGATGCAATCAAAACTTGAAATTATGAATAGATCTGATTGACAGACAGCTGTCAGAGCTAGCATTAGCAGCTTGCTACGGGGAAAGGCTCAGCCTGGCGATAAGCTGCAGAGAAAGGAATAAGCTGACGCTGAGGCTCATCTTACATACAGATCACCTTACAGATCCATCATAAACAAGGTCAAAGAACAGACCAAACGCAAAAACACGCCGTGCAGACCAGTTGGCCAAATGTAAATATAAAAAGAAATTAATAGAAGTCGTTCTCTTGCATTTGTCTAAAAACCTTCACCGATTACATGTTTCAGACCAAAACAACTACTGGCGTCCACATCTTTCCTGGTCTGGGCTCGGTAGAATTGGCCCACCCCCGCATGGTCCGGTTCTGTTCACACAGCCTTCTCTGGAACGCAGGTGTCTGAGCACATGGGCCATGAGCAGTGTTGCTTTTGGAGACGGACATGAAGCACACACGTCCTACTGCCTCACTGTGTGCTGCTCACAGCCGTCTGCCCGTGCACTGCCATGAATGGAGCAGCAGTCAGAGAAGGTGTTCCCCCCACTGCAGTCAGTAGGGTGCAACGCTACGCCAACCCCGCGCCGCATTTTTGTTGTAGGATGAAAACTTTACATCAGTATTCCCAGCGGGGGAAGTTCAGCAGACATGTTTGTTTACATTTTAGCCGCTGTGTGCCCGCACAGTGAGAGAGAAGGGAGGGAGGGGCAACGCGATGTTCAGCGTCTCTACGGGCTCCAGCAGCAGCGACACTTCAGAGATGTGTGTATTGTAATGTACCAAAGGTTGAATTTCCATCAACATGAACAGAAATTAACACACCATCCGTCTGTCCCCCCAAAACAGAGAGCTCTGCACGCCGTTAGCGTACCAGAGGACACAACATTCTCAGTCAAGGTCTCATGCAGCCCAGACTGCTGCAGCTTTCCTCTGAATAAAGTTCATCTTCCTGCAAGTTCATAAGTGACTTTACAATTTATAGGTTGAAATAATCAAATGTGTTGAATGAAGAAGATGTTTAAAGATATCAGAATACTCATACATGTTATAATAAGATTATTATTAATGTTTAACATCCACTTCACATAAATGTTTAACATTCACTTCACACAGAGTTAACCTCTCTGAGGACCGGACTTCTGAGGTATTTTTGATCATGCCTTCAAACGTGTCAAATTCAGATTTGCCAAACCTATAAATAAGGCAGGCGATAAACCAGAATTGTTTCCGGAATTATTTTAGTTTCTAGCCGACTCCTGATTCAGCCAAATCGGAGGAAAAAGCATTTTGAAACCATCTTCTCTTGTGACGTCAAGTCAAAGCCGCTCTGCAACGCTGCGAGTGATATCAGACAAAACGGCTCTTCTAAGAGCCAGCGAGCAGCCAGCTTCCTGTCGAGACCCGGAGAGATCTCAAGACTAGACGGGTCCTATCAGAGCTAATCTACGGGTTCCGATACCAGAGGTCCACACCATCTGCAGTTTGTCCGGCTCGACCTCCTGACCCCCTGGATCTTAAGGGGATGGCCGCACAAGGACGTGTAGACTCGACACAAACGGCGTTGGATGGTTTTATAAAACACATCCCACAGCCTTAAGAAAGGTTTTGCTCTAAGACATCTAGCTTCCATTCCATCGTTTCACATATCACAGTAAATCACTTCATATCCACCACATACATTCATGCCTCGTCAGTTGTGTGATCAGTAGTTCAGAAAAATAGAAATAAATTCATTTTTACAAACTAGGGCTGCAACGATTCTCAGTAGAAATAGTCGACAACAAACTTCATTGTCGACGTTGTCGCCAGACGTGTTTTTACCGACCGAGTGAGGCGTCTCACTTCATTACACTCTCTGCCGAGAGTCGCACGTGTGCAGTAGCTTCTCTGCTGAGCGCCAGCTAACAGAAATGGCGGCGTCCAACACCGCAGCTACGCGTACCAAAACTAGCCGGGATTTGGTGAATAAAAAGATGACCTGCATTATTTGTGAAGCAGTCCTCGCGTATGACGGCAGCACCTCGGTGATGCACGAATACTTAACGAGAAAGCACGTCGGACAGTTGAATGAAACAGAGTCTGACTCTCCTCGGTGAGATTTAAATAACACCAAAGCCAACACGTTTTGTGTTGGATGGACATTTTTAAAACTTATTTTTGCTTTTTAAAAAAGATTTAACGTTATGCCCGACTGATGCTTGACAAAAGTATTTTTATTATTTATGCATTTATGTCAGTACTGACTGGGCACTGTGCCTAATTGGTGTTAGACGGCATTTTTATTTACTGTTAGTATGAATCGGCCTATCAGCAGCAAAGTCCAATAAAATATGCATTTTCCATTGAAGTACACATCTTTGTGTTTATTATCATTTTTCACACAATTAAAGCAATCTCATGCTAAACTTAAGACAAATGTAATAATTATCCGATCAGTCGACTAATCGTTTCAATAGTCGTAACTAGTCCACTATTAGTCGCAGCCTTATTACAAACTAAACTCGACTCTGAATTAATGTGAAGTGTGTTTATGGTCCCTGACAAATCAAAGAAACTATAATATTCTGATTAAACATTTAAAGATCAATCAGGTTGATATTTCATATTAATAGGGAAATATCACACCTTGTTCATTTGTTATAAATGTAGACAACTCTTAACGCTCCATGGGACACGGCCGAGATGGTACTGATTGTAAACACCCAACGGGCTTCAATTCCACTCTTCAGAAACCTGCGAATGACCTCACAGAGGACCTGGTCAGTATTTCATTGGTCTAGGGTTGACTTTGGCGTTGACGCATTCGCTGAACATACAAAGTTTTAAAAGAACAGAAATGTCTCGTAAGGAGTCTGAAGAACCGGAAGAAGACTAGAGGCTGATCGGATCGTTGTGATCTGCACCCTTCCGAGGGGAAATCTGGGCTCTTGTAACACTTGGAGATGCCAGGCCTCCCAGTATAATTTCACTGGGACCAGAACAAAAGCAGCTGCAGAGAAAACGTGCAGCCGACTGACCACAAACACACCATGATTTCTGTCACGCAGTTGAGCCCAAAAAAAGTGACCCAGAGGAGCCGAGTCCACAGATCCGGGAATCTTCCATCCTTCCTCATCTGACCAATGTGGCTCCAGCCAGGCAGCAAGAGCAGAGAGACGCCATGCATCAGTACAAGAGCCGCATTATGTTTGGTACCTGGTGCATTAGTCATCCCAGCCCTACCCAGTCCAGGTCCACCTTCCACCACGGAGTTACAGAGCCAGCTTTTCCCAAACCGTCCCAAAGAACAAGGCTCACTGATTCTAGCATTCACACAGACAACTGTTGATTGATGAGCAGAAAGAAAAACCTTCCTGACTTCATCCGAACACACAAGTAGGGCTGCTAGATTATGGCAACAATGATAATCATTATTATTGTGATTGAAAATGAGATCTTGATTATTAACACAATCTTTTAATTAATATTGATTTCATTCTACATTATTAACACTAATGAGCGTCTGTCAGTGGTCTCACACTCGTTAATATCCGTTCACCTAACCTAATTTAGCTTAGAGAGAGACGCCCGTCATCCGGTTCTGGAGCTCATGCAGGCGTCTGTGAGCTGGATCCGACCCAAACACCAGTGAGCCAGTCCAGCCGGTATTTTTAAAAGTTGCGCATCCTCTCCTGGTGGTCCAGGTGGTGGTTCTGATCCAGTTCTGATTGTGATCTGAGCTCCAGAAATCTGCATTTAATTTTTTAACCCCCCCCCCCCCCCCCCCCCCCCCCCCCCCCCAGGTCTCCGGAGCCCAGCGCGGACCTCACTGACCCGGTACCGACCGATGTGGGCTATAGAAGTAACCGGTGTAGCGGTAAACCCCGGTAAAAATGTTGACAATAATAATAACCGTCTTGTTTTTAAAAACTATATTATCTCGGTGGATTACCGTGGCTGCGGTGTAGGCGCGGTGACCCTTACCAGCCACCGTATCATCTGCTGAAGTTGCCGGCGGCACATGCGCACTTTGTTGTTTACAACCAAAACTTTCTTGAAGCTAAAGCTGAAATAATGGCCAAAGGAGGAGACGGCAGCACTCAGGACATTTATTATCCCTCAAAGAAGACAAAGTGGGAAGTACGGGCATATTTTTCGGATATCTGAAGAATGCCGAGGGACAGCTGATAGAAGACGGCTATCCTGTTTGCAGCACGAGCAGAAAAAGTGTCTGTGAAAGGCAGCAACACTTCAAATCTCATGACACATCTGCGTGACCATCACCCACATCTCTGCAGTCAACGCAAGGCAAGCTAACGTTAGCGCGTTAGCTAAAATGCGTGATCCGAGGATTTGGGTTGAGGGAGAATGCAACGAGTCGCTATATAAAGCAGCCGCAGCGCCGCTACCTGCATATAAACCGTGTCGCGGACACCGCCATGTTGAAATGACGCTATGCATTACGGGGCTCCCAGGGGCCGATAAGAGTTGGTCTCTCTCCGAGAATAATTATGAATTTAACAATGATTACTGCCTGATGACATTTTCCCACATCTGCAAAGCTCACTGGAAGGACACAAACCGAGGACAATATTTTCCTGATATAGGGTTTATTACTCAAGTAAGGGTAAAAAAGTATCTGATTAGAAGGCTACTTGAGTACTGAGTATCATCTGGTCTAATATTTTTAAATGATGACATCAAGCAGACATGAAATAAGAAGTTATGGGCGAATATTGGTATTTTAAAGACTAAAGGGGAAAAATGTAAACAAATAAACAACATAATTACAAAATAACACATTTTAGGCTAAATTTAGACACAAACTGAGGACAATATTTCCTGACATACAGGGTTTATTTAATTGTCTGAAAATGCAACATGTTTAAAAAAATACCGTGATAATACCGAAAACTGTGATAATTTTGGTCACAATAACCGTGAGGTTACATTTTCACACCGTGACGACCCTATTCTGTTGCTTTATTTTCTAAGCAGGGGGACTCTGCTCCCACCAGCAAGCTACTGGGAGAACTGGGAGGAGATTTGAAATAAACTTCAGTCCTGTTTTCTCCCAGCAGAATCACAGCTCCAGATGTGGAGGGTTATGGCAATGAAGAATAAAAAAGCATAAAAACAACCCGTCTGTATGAAAATCAGCTAACATCCCTAAACTGCTCGCCAGACGTTTTAGGATCTAGGATCATGTCTTGTTCTGCAGATGTTTGAGTCCTGCTGGATCTGAGTGGAAAACACACACACACACACACACACACACGCAAAACTCACCCCTGCTGCGGATCCAGGGCGATGGCCCTCGGCTGATCCAGATCCTGCCAGAACAGAACCTTCCTCAAGGACCCGTCCAGCTCAGCCACCTCAATCCGATTGGTTTCAGAGTCTGTCCAGTAAAGTTTACTGCCTAACCAATCACAGGCCAGTCCATCTGGTGATGTCAGACCCGGTACCACAGTCTGGACCAGGCTGGCGCCTGACTGGCTGAAGGAGGTGCGTTTGATGGCCTCCTCGCTCACGTCGCTCCAGTAGATGAGGCCCTGGGAGTAGACGTAATCCACTGCTGCTGCATCTTCCAGACCTCCAACCACCACCGTGGCGTTGGCCTTCTCACGCGCCACATCGGCGATCCGAAGGTCTCGCCGATTCGCGTACAGGAGCAGCGGCTCACCTGGAAACCCAAATAATAACAAACAAGGTTCGTACCAGTGCCTGGCAGGAAGCAGCCTCAGTATTTTACCAAGGAGGAAAGGACAACTTTTCAGAATCACAGAAACATGCATGTTGATCCGAAAGGAACAGCTAGCCTGGGACGGGGCAACATCTCCATGTTTAGAATATCAACATAATGTAAACAAGTCTTAATATGACCCAGTAAATGTACAGCCAGTGAGTTCTTAGTTAGCAGGTATATCACCCGTTAGCTAGCAGCTGTTCCATGCCCGAGTCATCACGTCTTTTCTCGCATGTCACATGTCTTATGGCATAGAGTGTGAGGAAATAATCTTTCTACATAACCCAGTCCTCTCGACCACTTTCTAATAACCTTTGAGTTTTTTATAACTGAGTTCTCGAGACATGAAAGTAAATTTCACTATAGTCGGTCTCTGACAACGCAGTTGCATCTTTTAAATCAACTGTTCCATCTTTATTGTCCTCAGCATCTCAGAGGAACGTAGCAGAGGGCAATATTCTCAGTTCTAGCCCCTCACAAATTGATGCCTTAGTTCATCATGTGAATTCCTCTTTACGTGTGGCATTAGATGATGTTGCCCCTTTAAAAAAGAAGGTAATTAGGGACAGGAAGTTGGCTCCCTGGTTTAACTCTCATCTACGAGCCTTAAAACAAAATTCTAGGAAATTGGAGAGAACATGGCGCTCTACGCACCATGAGGAGGCCTACCTATCCTGGAAAAATAGTCTTGTGCTTTATAAAAATAAGCTTCAACAAACTAGAACTGCTTAAAATCCTGGTTTAAATCCTACCTGTCTGACAGATTTCATTTTGTAAATGTACATGACAAATCGTCTTCATACTCCAGGGTTACTTGTGGAGTACCACAGGGTTCAGTGCTTGGACCAGTTCTTTTTACTATATATATGCTCCCAATTGGTAAAATCATTAGACAGCATGGGATAAACTTCCACTGTTATGCTGATGATACTCAGTTATATTTATCCATTAACCCTGATGAACCTAATCGGTTGGGTAGATTACAGGCTTGTCTTGAGGACATAAAAAATTGGATGACTCTAAACGTTCTGCTTTTATGTTTATGTGCTTAGCAGACGCTTTCACCCAAAGCGACTTACAATTTTTTTTTTAACCTATAGGGCATGTTGTGATCTGTGGGGGAAACCGGAGTACCCGGAGAAAACCCACGCATGCATGGGGAGAACACGCAACTCCACGCAGAAAGGCCGCAGCCGAGTTTCGAACCTGCGACCTTCGTGTTGCGAGGCAACAGTGCTAACCACTGCGCCACCATGCAGTCTTTCAAATCAAGACAAGACTGGATTACTGTAATCCATTACTCTCAGGAAGTCCACAGAATGTAGTTAAAAGTCTTCAGCTTGTCCAAAATGCTGCAGCTAGAGTTCTGATGAGAATTAAAAAGAGAGATCATATCTCTCCTGTCTTGGCTTCCCTACATTGGCTACCTGTTAAATTCAGAATAGATTTTAAGATCCTTCTTCTCACATATAAAGCTCTTAATAATCAAGCTCCATCATACATCAGTGATCTGATTGTTCCATACGTTCCTAACCGAGCACTTCGCTCTCAGACTGCAGGTCTACTGGTGGTTCCCAGAATACCTAAAATTAGGATGGGAGGCAGATCTTTTAGTTATCAGGCTCCTCTCCTGTGGAACCAGCTCCCAGCCTTAGTCCGTGAGGCAGACACCTTGTCTACATTTAAGAATAGGCTTAAAACATTTTTATTTGATAGGGCCTATGGTTAAAATCTGATGTTAGCCTAGATCTGGACAAGTGGGGGATTACAGGGAGGTGGAGTGTACAGTCGGTAAAGACGGCTCTCCCTTGCCCTGCCTCCAACATGCCTCCATCTAAATAGGATAGATTATCCAGAGTTATCTCTGTAGTTATGCTGCTATAGGCTTAGACTGCTGGAGGATACACTGACCACGTTCCACACTCTACTACTTTCTTCTACTATCTGCTCTTTAACTGTATTATTTCCTGCTATTTCAGCTGTTAACTTTATTTTCTCTCTAAGTGTTTTTCTCCCCAGAAGAAGCTACAACGATGTTCTGCTGAGCTGTGGTGGCCTCATGGAGGGGGCCATCGATTAGCACACTGCTGCTAACCACTTAAACATTCTCCCTCTCCTGATAATAACTTTTTGCTTTCCTTGATGTTGGATGTGCTACTGCTAGTTTACCCGTTTAATTATAGATCCACTAGGATAAATACAATAAAGTGTATCTCTCTCCAAATAGAATATTTACCAAGAAATCACAATTTAACCATAGGTGTGTGTGTGTGTGTGTGTGTGTGTGTGTGTGTGTGTGTGTGTGTGTGTCTGCTCTGTCTTCTCGATCCCCAGTGAGTCGTGGTGAATGGCTGCTTATACTGAGCCAGGATCCTCTGGAGGTTTCTTCCTGTTAAAAGGGAGTTTTCCTCTCCACTGTTGCTGCATGCTTGCTTAGTATGAGGATTGCTGTAATGACTGACACTAGTCAGGATAGGCGCTATTGCATTGAACATGTACAGTCGATTGTGGGCTAAAAAAACATAATACACATAGCTGAGTTGATATCCTAACCCCCTTCCACACACACAGGAAGAATAAGCCTGAAGCCAGCCAGCTCCAGGTCAACAACAGCATCCTGAACACATCAACATAAATGAAGCAACAGCTGTTCTGTTGAACCAAAACTTTCATCTAGAATTTGATGGTTTTTCTTCTGAATCTTTTTGTTGATCTATCATCCCAGAAGACACCTTTGTAATGAACAGTATGATAAAAATCATAACGCAGGTTCCAAAAAATAAACTGAATTATAAGATCTGTGGGACAGCCTCATCCAGCCTGCACACCGAATTAAAACAACACCAGAATAGTGCCTGATCCAGCATATGCCCCAAACATCACCTTCCCAACATCTAAGCTCCCAGGTGGGGGTATCCAACATGGGATGGGCTCAGAGCAGACCATCTACAGTAGAGCTGGTTTTAGTCCAACGACCCGTCCCATCGGAAGCTGGGGCTGGTGCTTCTGATGACCAGTGTCTAAAGCTCCACGTCCAGACTCATCCCTGCAGGTTTTCATCAACATGTGAAGGCAGGACTTTGATTTTGTTCTCTTCAGGCGAACATCTCCTGCTTCCCAAAAAGAATCACCACAACAAGGAGTGTTTGATGAGCAGCTGACAGCTCTCCACCACATCCCGGCTCTGCGCCAGACCGCCAACCTGAGACAATCAGCTCCGCCTGACCACCAGCAGGTCAGATGAGAGGTGACCTGGACCAGATCACGCTGTCAGCCTGGTTTCAAAACGTAGATCAGAGCCAAGGAGTTCTCTTATCAACGTTTCCCTTCTAGGATCCTTAAGTGATGATGGAAAACAGTCCGCGGTACAATGAAGGCTCCAGAACCTCAGAGCTGTTTGAATCAGCTGATTCTGGGGCTAAAAACTACATTTTAGTCTCAACTGCAAACATCCTGAAAGCTGTGAATCCTGAACTCACCGACCTGGTCGTGTGATCGTTACGTTTGAATCTTTTCCCAGATCTACATCTTCTACTAAAGTTTAAAAAGTTCAAGTTTCCATCCCAGTTGGTACCCAGAACCGGAGCTGGAAGGAAGAGGGTCAGCCCAGTTCACACAACCAGAGTGGTAAATGGTCTGTATTTGTATAGCGCCTTCTTAGGGTTCTACAACCCCCCAAGGCGCTTCACAACACAATCAGTCATTCACAAATTCACACGCTGGTGGTGATGAGCTACAGTGTAGCCACAGCTGCCCTGGGGAACGCCGACAAAGGCGAGGCAGCCGAACACAGGCCCCACCGGTCCCTCTGAACACCACCAGCAGGCAAGGTGGGTTAATGGTGCGTTCAATGTGTCCTCGGAACTCGGAAATTCAAACTTCCGAGTGGGAAAATTCAAATGAAACGCCCCCCAAAGCCAGACCTACGAGTCGGAAACTCAGAAGAATTTCAGAACTCTGACCATGACATCCAAAATGGCAGCTCTCCGTATCAACAACAGTAACTTTTGGGTTAAATGTGTTTTTTTTTTTACAAAACACTCTTATAAGAGCCAGGGCTGAACAATTAACTGCACATGCAATTAAATTGCGTTGTGAGTGTGACAAAAGGAGATTTTCTAATAGCAAAGGCTGTGATTTGACAGGCAGCGAGTGGTTAGCACAACGCTAATATACATGGAAGAACCCATAGGGATGCTAATATCGCAGATTACATTCTTACAAATTACGAATGTTCCTAATTATTACATTTGGAGTCTAATAAAGAGTAAAAACTGCCATCAATCAAATACGTACTGACAGATGTTTTAGTAAAGCTAGAAAACTGTAAGAGTCTCTAACTTCAGAGTTTTGGCTAGCAGCTATGAACGTAACTTAACTACGGAAGTAGTGTTGTCAAAAAAATCGATACCCAGATATAAATCGATGCTAAAAGTGGTATCTAAATTAGATATTCCATCCCTGTGGTATCGATATTATGGACTATTATACACAGCCTTCTTCACGCACACCGACACGCACGACAGCCAGATGCCGTAAAGCAGCCTCCGCCTCCCAGACAAACAGAAGAAGACGCCGCATGGCTACATCGCAATTTCCCACGCGAGTTGTCTCCGATCCAAGTTTTGTCTGCCAAATAAATAAACAAAAACAAACAGCGAATTTGGGAGGCGCTTCACAGCCCAACTTCATTAGCACACCAAGTCCGACACGTAGTTGTATATTCACGCTTATGTGCTTAAAGGAAACTCCCGTTTATTGCAACCCGGACTTAATTTCTAGCATGCAGTACGTTTGTTTACTCACGCTGACAACTTTGGTGCTACTTGGATTCCCCGGGGTATTTAGATCCATCGGCGAATCGCCATCAGTGTATATATCCATATAACGGGTGCGGACGGGCACCCATGGTGCAGCCTCGAAATAAGACATTATCTGCACCAAAACATCTTCATGTCGAAAGGTTTTGTTAGGAATCATTAACGTGATTCCCCTGTTCGTTTGGAGCGGGTCTGGGATTTCTAGGCGTAAACAGACTAGCTGCGGCTAATCTAACCGGCGCTTTTAATGACGTCACTGCCGTGCGCCAATCTGTTTTATTAAGATTACCGGTAGATGTACCTTTGTCCTACTGTGGAGAAATTCGTTTTCTCCCTTTATTGACCAACAGAGTTGTTCAAAAGTACAGAACAAAACATACGGCATTACATCTTATGACAAAAATGCACCTTAAACAGAGTTTAAGCAGCAAAACATCACTCTGCAAATAGTGTATATATAGTGAGACAATTCATGATTTAAAGTGTTAACTTTCACCAGTTTTTGTATGCACGTTTAAAAAATGCTGAAACTTGAAAGGTTTAAGCACTTAATACACTTAATTCTTAACATTTAATTTTTGCAATATATATTGAGGAATGTTATTTTTTGAATAAACTTGTTCAATAAATTGGTGTTTCTAAATAGTATCGAAATCGAGCATCGAGTTTTTTTCAAGTATCGAATCGAGTTTGAAATTTTAGTATCGTGACAACCCTGTACGGAAGCTCTGCATGGACAAGACATCAAAAACTCTAAACACAAAAGACTTCAATAATCGGGACACACTTCTGTCCTGCTAATACATTTTCACAGTTGATGCTAATACCTGTACTCCTTCAAGGGACGTGCTCCTGGCTGCAAAGCATCGCAACTTCACGTACAACATTTGTCTTTACTTGTGAGTGTTTATGTAGACAAATAAACTTGTAGATACATACACTTGTTTATTTTCAGTACAAGTTACATACTAAAAGTTTAGTTTGCATGTTGGACACACAGCTTAAAGCTACGTTATTAAGAGGAATCTACAAACAACAGCTACTTGGAAGGTGTGCATCGCCTGCGGTAAACAGAATGCGGTTAATTCGGGTGTGATGCCATTCCCAGTTCTGACTTTCGAAGTAAATTGAACGCACCATAAGTGTCTTGTCCAAGGAAACAACTGCAGCATTCTCTGGTAGGAAGATCAGGATTAAGATCTGCTCTCACTAGACGAGTTCTGATTGATCATCAATCAGAAACCAACATGCAAACACCTTTTAGGTTTCCTCAGGGCCGGTCCAGTCATCGGTTAATGTGGTCTGCATGAACATTCTCCAGAGCTTCTGAAAATTTTACAGTTTATCTTTCACCTTTGGCTGATCTCAACTCTGGTTCAGTCTTTCTACCTGAACACGTTCAAGGACCTTGAATAAAACACTGAACTGGGAATGGGTCAGAGTTGTTTAGGCTCTGTGGTCCCTACAGTCCGTCAGTCACAACCTCTGTGAGGTCAGTATGAGGAAGCTGTAATCCATGGGGGAGGTCATGGTTTGGGGTCTGACTACAGATACAATTAACCAGACTCGGAGTACTCTGACGCACTTTACAGTACAGAACACATTGAAGCCTGGTTTCGAACCGGCAACCTACCGGTTACAGGGCCAACTCGTAGCCCCCCCCCCCCCCCCCCCCCCCAGGATGACAATGATCCCAAATACTTTGAGTACAAAGTAAAATAGAAATCTGAACTAAAACACACAGAAAACGTCAGAGTTTTCAGGAGCGAGCACACACACACACACACACACACACACACACACACACACTTTCCTAAAGCGTAAACAACGGGAAGCGGACCAGCGGTGTGTAGTTGTGGTTAAGGCAGGTGTTTTACGTTTAGCTGCCGTCTGTATACATCAGAACACATACTACTACTTCTACTAATACCAATAATAATAATAATAACGATGATAAGAATAATCAGCGAGTTCAGAGCTGCGCCTGAATGAATGTAACATGATCGTTAGCCAACACAGGTTGGCTAGCTCTGACCTGTTAGCTCCGACAGCTAGCTAGCGCGTCCGCAGATCCCGTTGTTGCTCTTCCCGACGGAGCCACTTCCAGTCACAACACAACGTTAAACTACCAACGAAAGCCTGAACCTGTCGTTAAATCACCCAGTAAGCCTGAAACCAAGCCCCTAAACGGCGGCAGCAGTCCTCCGCTCGGTCTCTGTGGACAGAATTCCCACAAATCCTGTGATGTGAGCGGCTCCTAGCAGGAAGCTAACGTTAGCTTTACTCGGCCCGAAACCCCAAACATCCACCGAGGAACGCGCGGTACGTGAACCCGTCCCCATACCGCAAACCCTGGGTAGAGAGCATTCTGTCTCCCATCCATAAAGCGCCAAGCCCGGGTCAGAGAGCAGCCATAGGCCGGGAGGAACACACTCACCTCGGATTAGACAACAGAAAGTACACAACAACAGGCTCCGCAGCGCGACTCCCATCTTTCCCCGTTTCTCAGCGCCGTTTTCCCATCGCTGCGGCCGCTTCCTCCGAACAAAAACAAGCGCTTCTTCGGGACAATTCGCAGCAAGGTTCGGTTCCGATGTGGCTCAAACTATTTCGACTTCCATCCCGGAAAGCTTCTCGCTGCTGGATCCACTCTCCGAGTATCTCACATTGTCCTGCAGGAGATCCGTCGTCTCCTTCCGCTGCCAAGAAGCTGGCTGCTCCTGCTGCTCCTCCTCCTGGGCTCCGCTTTCTATTGTTGTTCAGCCGCACACTGACTGCGCAGAACCGTAACCAGAACTACCGCAAACCACCGAGAGTCCGCAAAACCGCAGCGTGAGAAGATCCTAGTGGAACTACTTTATCACAAAAATGGGCCCAAAACACAGAAGTTGGATTTTCTGTTAAAACATTCCATTTCCAGTTCTGGACCCCACAGGAAGACGATGAGGAATCTGAGCCCTCATCAGCTGGTTCAAACTTCAGCATCGACCCTGTTAATTATTTACAGGGGCGTAGCACCAAATTCTGGGCCCTGGATACAAGCCATCTAGGTGGGCCCCCATGCTCACTTGTTTAAATCTCTTTGTGCACATTTTTTTTTGTCAGGCTATAAGACAAAATAATAAATATGATCTTAGTTTAACCTTTCTTAAGCAAATACAACTACAGTGCTATCTGGAGAGAATAAAGGCCCTGCTGCTGCATCTAATGTGGTTCATGATGCTAATGCTGATGTATGTTGTCACAATAATGAAAGGTTATACATATGTAATGAAATAAACCAGTTTTTCTGTGTGAATGTAATGCACTCTAAATGTTATAATCCCTGCATTATCTACGAATTATCTACTTTTTAAGATCAAATATAAAGAATTTAAATATGATTCAACTGGAGAGGCAAAGTGGTACAATTAAAAAAATAGATAAAGCCCAAAATATTCTGCTTAAATAATTATTAAAATATAAAATTTGTGGATTGTGTGAATAAAAATATTAAATTTATTTATAAAAAATCATATATAATTATTTCAAGATTTAAGTCATTGTTTCATCTTCTGTTCATCAATAATTTTCTTCTGTCAGCCTCACCCATCAAAGTCAGTGGGTGGAGCTAATTCTGACAACAAACATGGCTGCTCCTTTTATGAACGGTTCCTTACAGGTTGATGAGATATTTTAAACCTAACAGATACAACAGAAGTTGCTGACCCAGAATCTGGTAAAAGGAATCTAATGAGGAATCTCCACTGTTTGATCAAGATCAACATCACTTCAAGCTAACAGAAACCAGATAAAACAAGGCAGACATCAGAAAAATTCCAGGAAGGGCCAAGCAAAACCAGCAGGATCCTGGCTGAAAATGGTGAAAGACTCTGACCAGGCCAGCCAAGGCGTGAGCCACAGACTAAGGAAGGTTTTAGATGGTGAGAAGTTTGGGATCAACAACACCACACAGCAGGACTTTGTTTTTGAGGTGGAGAAACAATCCAGGACCATCTGCCAAATTGCACGAATCAAAAACTTCTCAAAAATATTGAAAATGTTAATTATAACATCTACTCCAAATTTTTCTGAAACCAATAAGAAGATATTAACAAAAAGAGCACAAAAACATACTTGAACTGCAAGCAGTTATCAACGGGTTCCAAGGAAACATTATTTCTGATTGGCTTAATGAACTGACCTGAATTGGAATGTTTATTTTGTGAAGTGCCTTGAGACGACTCTTGTCGTGATTTGGTGCTTTATAAATAAACTTGAATTGAATTGAATCCCCCACGCAGTCCCGCTCTGGCCATTCCTGACGGTCCCGCCGTTCCCACACGTTCTTCTGCCGGCATCCTGTCAGCTCACTTCAACCAGCTCAATGAAATGAACACTCAGCAAAACGTTTTGACCCTTTTGCACCGCTTGTATGTAAATCTTACATTAATTGGACGGGCATGGCTCACATCTCAATCCTCATTACAATCCAGTTCCATCATTTAATCTGAAACATTGTGGAGATTTGGTCAGTTGTTGTTTGCTGGCTGCACAAAGAGTTTAGAGCTGCATCAGTAGCAAGATTTTTATTATTTCTGTGATTTCTTTATCACGTTTAGTTATCCACAGATCATATATTCCAAGTCTCAAATCGATTCAGCAAAAAATGATGCAGTAGTCACAAAAACCAAGTTTTGTGTTATTTGCAATAGAGCAAAAAAACTAGCTATTTGAAAATGTGTGCAACCTTGATCAAGTGATGCAAAATCTTCCAACGTTAAAAAAATTGTTAAGATTTTTGGGTTGGGGGGGGGGGGGGGGGGGGGGGTAATGTTAGGCCTATGGATTGACAGTTATCAGCCAAAATGCATTTTCTTTTGCAACAGCACCCTCTATATTTTGTTGTGTGTAAATATCATTCCTATTTTTTTCTTTCCTTTAAATGCTTTTTTTCAGTAAAAATATGCCTTTCACTTTATGACTTACTAAACCAATGATTTAGAAAATCCATACAAGATCATAAAAATACCAAAATATTCACAGATGGGAATGTGAAATGTGGAATGCCCTATAGGTTATAAATTGTAAGTCACTTTGGATAAAAACGTCTGCCAAATAAACATAAACATATAAACATAATTTGGTTTTGTTTTTATATCTGTACATCCAAAGTGTTTGTCAAGAGAAATTGGTAAATGTCATTTTAATGATCGACCTCAAATTAAAATATTCACAAAAAAAATTCCTACTCCATTATAAAATTCACAAAAAAATCTCAGATCATCACAGGTACAAGTCAAATGTTACATCACCTTTATATTTACTCCAGACTTAAAGACCTTTGTAAAAAAAAACTTCATTATTGTTTCAACAATAATAAAAATGAAATTAATTTTTAAAGTTCATACAAAAATGTAGACTTTGCTACAAAAATCTCAAAATGTAATAACTTTTATCATGTCTGAGATCTGCCCATATTTTTTTAAAGATACAAAATTAAAAACTTTTTCTAAATAAAATTTTTGTATATTCTGCACTAGTTTGAAATGAGTCATAACAATAACAGAAGGGGGCACTCGAATCTTGACAACCTTTTAAGGGACTCATAGACAATATGCAAGTAGATTTTAATCAAGTGTAACTTGAAGGAATTCAAGCTACAACTGCTAGCCTTCAGAAGAAAACGTTGTAATTTCAATTCAGTTTATTTATAAAGCGCCAAATCACGATAAGAGTCGTCTGAAGGACCTTCACACAGTAACCATTCCAATACAGGTCAGGTCATTCAGCCAATCAGTAAAAAGTTTCTTATGTAAGGAACCCAGCAGGTTGCATCGAGTCACTGACTAGTGTCAGCACACTGGTTCACGGAGCAGCGTTTTTTCTTCTGCACTCTCAGATTTATGCAATTAGCATATCCTGAGCAATTTAGCCTTCAAGGTCAAATTTGTGATTTTTTTCTAATTGTGAAAGTTTAAAAGTGCGTATACCACGCCCACTCTTACCAATATTTACCAACCATATAACACAGTCTCAGGGGCTGTATCTTGAAGACACCCAGCAAGTTTCATGCGGATCCATTCAAACGATTTTGACGGTATAGACTTTTCCAGTTAATAGCGCCCCCCATAGTTGGATTAAGCAAAAAATTTAAACATAAACTTGAGTTGACATTAGGCACCATTGGTATGAAAAGCTTTGAAAAACCTCCAAAGGTTTTGAAATAACATTAAAAAAATTAAATAAAAATGATTTTGAATGTTCATTATTTGTAAACTACAAATAAGTTTCAAACTCCAAATAGAATATTTAGTAATTTAGTATATTTGGGGGGCGGGGGGGGGGGGGGGGGGGGGGGGGGACAACACTGTCATGTGCCGGGGTGAGTACTCCTCTTATTTTTCCATCTTTGAGTTGTGTGTTTCAGGAGAGGGAGGCTCCAGCTGCAGCAGGTCTGGCTACAAAGGAGGATGGAGAACACTCCTCGACGCCGGATGATTACTACAGCTTGGTAGTCTCCTGCCCTCTTGCGACTCTTGGATTTTGTGCTCTAGTGTTTCTAGGATTTTTTGTGAACCTTTGGATCTTTTCCCTGTGCTTACCCGTTACCAGGATTTGGAACGTTTTTGGACTTCTTTGACTTCTCTGGATTACGTCTCTGGTTTTCTGCGACTCCTCAGGATTACTCACCTGTGCCCCCATAGGATTTCCGGACGCAGCTCTCACCGTTCTCCATTCCTTCGAGCCGGCCCGCTCTCCTGCTCTCCTCTCGCTCCCTCTCCTGAACACCTCACGTGGATTCGCCCCGGCACCCAACCTACCCTTCCTCATTCCTATGCTCTCCCCTCCTCGGACGCTGCGCTCCCATTCTCGATCTCACACTGGGCTTTTCCGGTGCACCTTCAGTTCCCGTTTTATAATAAAGATTTTTTTTTTACCATAAGATCTGTGAGTGTGTGATTCTGCATGTCTTGGGTTAAACGCATTCCCCAAACCATGTCAGGAGTGCAGAGACCGCGTGGGTTCATATGGTAAAAGCAGTTCTGAAAGATAAGAAGGCCCAAGACCATTAAGACGCTTAAAAACCGTTAAATTTTTTTTTAATCGATCCTAAAGCACACTGGGAGCCAATGTAGTGAATCAAAAACTGGAGTGATGTGCTCCCGCCTCCTGGTCTTCATCAGGACACGTGCTGCTGAGTTTTGTAGAAGTTGCAAACCCGACATCCTCTTTAGGAAGAGCAGAAAGCAGGGCATTGCAGTAGCCTATCCTACTGGTGATAAAAGCGTGCATCAGCGTCTCCGTACTGGCCCGAGAGAGAATGGGGCGGACTCTGGTGATGTTCTTTAGATGATAAAAACCTATTTTGGTGATATTTTTAATATGATGGATAAAAGTCAGCTCAGAGTCAAAGATGACACCCAGGTTCTTCACTTTTGATTGTAATTTTGGTAAAAGTTTCTCTCTCTGGGGCCTCAGGACCGATGACTAAAACTTCAGTTTTGTCCTGGTTGAGCTGCCATCCAGGACTTTATGTCAAAAATGCAATTAAAAAGCGTGTCCACTGGCTGTGCGTCATCAGGAGACACAGACATGTACAGCTGTGTATCATCAGCGTAACTGTGGAAATTCATCCCATATCACCCATGACACTGCCAAGAGGGAGCATTTAAAGGTGAAAAAGCACTGGGCCCTAAAATTTAACCCTGGGGGCACACCACATGTAATCCCATGAACCCTAGAGGAACAGGTATCCAAACTCACCGTAAAAGTCCTGTCTGTGATGTAGGACGTGAACCATTGGTGGACAGCACCAGAGAGGCCGATCCGTTTCAAACGAGTTAAAAGAACAGTGTGGTCTACTGTATCAAAGGCAGCACTTAGATCCAGTAGAACCAACACAGTTTGTCATAATTTACTCTAAAATCATTTAAAATCTTCACAAGGGCCGTCTCGGTGCTGTGGTTCACCCTAAAGCCGGACTGAAATATT